AGCACTTTTTGTGACCGCTACAAGCCGTCACAAATAATAAAAATACAATCGCAAAAAACCTTTTACGATGGTCCATGCGACGGTAAATGGGGGTCGCGAATGTGGGGTGGCAAATATTTTTTGCGACGACAAAGCAACGGTCGCAAATTATTCACGACTACTATTTTGCCGTCACAAAAAACAAAGAAAAATGCTAACATGTTTTTTGGTGACCATCTTGTTACCATCACACACACACACACACACACACAAAAAAAAAAGAAGAAGAAGAAGAAGAAACATAAAAGTGTAACGTTAAGCATTCTAAGAATATCAATGACAAGAATTCAGACAATACAACATCGTAGTTTAATCAGACATTCCTTTTGTGCCTCAAAATTGGAGCCATAAGTAAAAGTTATTACAACTAAAAACCTGGAAAAAATTCTTTTATGACAAAACACAATCTAGATAAAATGTTAGTAAAGCCAAAATCTACAATGCTAATGTTCACCACTGTACAAGGTACTGATCGAGTTCCAATTTGTTACCAACTTCATTGTTGATCCTATGAGTCTCTCACCACAATGATAGAAAACATGAAAACTGGTGCATAACCCCAAACTCTAAAAAGAACAGCACAAAAGGTATAGAATTAGAAATTATTCAAAGTACCAAGAAAAACCTATATCCTGTTTTAAGAAAGATTTTAGAACCATCTTCATATTAAAAGCCAGAATAGAAACTACGTGCAATTTAATGATAATCAATTCAACAATTGCTCACCAATACAAGAAGTTAAGTTTAAAAAGGATAGACAAAACGCTGGTCAAGTAAAAGTGCAATATACATTAACAGAGCTAAACAAATGCAAACCAGTAATCTACCTGCCTAGCCTCATTTACAACAACATTCAAAGCATTAGATGAACGTGGTGTATTAGTCTTGTGATTGATAAAAATATTTCAAAGTTCATAAGTGTTTAATTTCAATCCCCACTACAACTGTAGAGGATTCATAAAACTATTATCCACAATCTAAGTGCAAGTTTAATATTTAAGGACCAAGTGATGTGGGGTATTAACCATTCTACGATATTTCTTCACCAGATGTACAACATGAACCCTGAAAAGCAAGCAATGTAAATATGAAAATTCACCTTCTAGATATTCCAGCAAAACAATGAACCATCGCACCGCCATGCATTCTTTAGCTCCATCGATGAAATTGAAACACTCATCAAAATACTATGTTATATTCATGTATGCTTTGTCTGGGACTACATCAATCCACAAACAATGACATAGATTATTAAGAACTTTGGTCATAAAAGCTCAAGGTGTCTTCAACCATTAAACAACATCATAAATTTCTATATGACTAGAACATGAGAAACTCTGCATAAACAGTAACAATATAACCATAAGCTACAATAAATTGAAGAAGAAAAGAAAACTAGCAGAACAAAATTTATGAAAGTGAAACTAAAACAACTTTAAGGAAACATATGGTTGAACCCCAGCTTCCTAGTGAGATTGAATATGAGATGAAGGACTTCCTCAAAAGTAATTTAAACATGCAATATAGATATAACTTAACAACTAATTTCAGTAAGACAAAATAATTCATTATATTCAAGGATCATATATCTTAAGAAGATGTCAGTTCAAAAGAAGAACACTAATCCACAGATCGATCTCAAAACTTCCCTACTATTTATCCTTGGAAAAGAAAACCAAAAAGCCAAAAATGCTTACTACTAACTATTTTGTATACGAAGTCATGAGGATGAGCAGGTCATAATGAATTAGCCACGGTTAAAATGTAAGTAACATTCAAGCTTTTCAACATAAAAAATTAACTGTAGTTCCAATTTGATTCATTGCTACTAAGGAAACTTTACAAATACATCTTATTTTGAAACTTGTTGGATCAATTTCATCAATTCAAGTTCTACAATAGCAAAATACCTGTTCATCTTCTTTTGAAGTTTTTTAATTTGTATGGTTTGTTTATCCGATTCAAACCGTCACAAAATGAACCAGCCAGATTGCAAACGATATTTATTCACGACGGTATATGAAGAAGTATCTGTATCATAAGGCCAAAATACAAGTACAAATCGGCCAATAATCATAACCATGGTATGGGCCCTAGATAATAACTTTTGCTTCAACTCTTATATGGGATCTAAAGAGCTCTTAGAAATTTATGAACAACATTCTTACTATCATTCAAGTGACCTATTATGCGGGATCAGCAAGGGTCTATTCAGCTACCCAAATTTATAATATACAATTCCCATGTAATAATAAAAAGCCATGAAATTAATATAAATAAATTAAAAATTGGACCACACAATAGAAAGGGTAAGTTTTCCACCAACTATTTACAAATCAAGGTAACAAGAAGATCGTCACCTACACATACCTTATATGTAAGAAATTTCAGTTTGATCATCAAATTTGCATCTTCATCTACTAAATCATCTTTTTGCTAATGTTCCATTGCTACTGTTGACATGTTTAAGCAAATCATTGGTGTCTTTTGCAGTTTGAGCAACTTTCACCCTGTTTTCCTTGAATAAATTTAAGTCAACAAAAAATCCTAGCAAAAAAAAAAAGAAAAAGAAAAGAAGCATCACCAACTGATTTATGCCAGTCTGGCGTATCTTTTGGCAGAGACTGTGCATGCACATATGCATCAAAATTTTGCATAAAAATACTTCCAAATACATCATTCTTACTGTAGGAAGTGTTATTATATTTTCTAGTATCACTACCTAACACATTCGTTTAGCCTTCATTTCTCAACATCATATACTCCTCATTATCCTAATTCCTTACATGGTTGTAAGAGTACCAAACCATTAATAGTCAATGTCACTTGGAACAGTACCAAATCTTTTTACCACAGCTGTGTAAGGGATCTGAATCTTCTAATCCCTATTTCCACTTTCAAGTCTGACCACATTATGGAGAAGTGCTTTGATTACAGAAGTAGCCATACAGACATGGAGAAATATGTGGCAGACAACATTCAGCTATGGTTGAATGTTAAATATCTTCCTTTGAGGTGGTTGGGGGTAAATAAATGTCCTTAAGGCCATCCAGAAGCGACAAATTCTTCGGGTTGTAAAATTTAAACTTTTAAATAGGAACTAAAACAAGATCAACAAGAAAGACAGTTACCTCGATATAAAGGCCACAATCCTGGTTTGTTCCTGAAACATACCAAAGGTTTTTCAATCAGAAAATTCAAGGAACATGCATAACAAAAAAATGACAAGGAATAACATAAACCATAATATACATCGACCAAAGTACCAGATGAATCACTACATTACAAGCTCAAGTTTAAATAGGACCTCATCTCTTTCTGATATCATCGAAATGCTGAATCGCTGTGGACATGGATGACCATTTTGAAGAACAGGTTGTCACTAGATACAGAACCAATTTTGTGAAAGTTATGGTAACACTTAAAAGCAGCAGGAAAATGCCTCTCTCTCATCAAAAAATTAAGTCAGAAACAAATTCTACAATATTAAAGGAAATGAACAAAAAATTAAGGTCAATATTAAAGGAAATGAAGAATTCTAAGTCAGAAACAAATTCTACAATATTAGATGCATCATACCCAAAGACAACCACAAAATATACAAACACCAAATGCAAATATTAGACATCAATCAAATCTTAAAAGCAATATTAAACAATAATGTCTGATAAGCTCAATAAAATTGTTATAACTCAACAGACAATCACTTCAAGAACCAACAGACCAAATAACCGATAACATTACAAAGCCATAAAGATCAAGCAGTTTATGAAACAGATATAACATTATCTAAGCAGATTATGAAACTATTATAGGAAAAGTAAATTCATACTTCAGAAAAATCTGCAAAAAGTACAGCCTAACCTGCAATTTAGTGGTAGAAAAATCAGCAGGATGTGCTTATAAAAATTTTGAAAGAACAGATTGATCAGCATTTCTGGAATGTGAATCAGTTGCAGCATTTCCAAATCAGTTTAAATAATCAGGGCAAACAGAAGTCATGTACACCTACCTATAAGCTCCACCTAAGAAGAACCTTTCTTTCTAGAGCCTTCAATTTTTAAGATACTACTCACTTTCCCTTTCTAAGACCTTCAATTATCAAGATACTACTCATTTTCAATTATTATTATGTTTTCAACACAATTAAGTATTGTTATTTTACTTGATCAAAACTACAGGCAAACAAACAGTTAATCAACTGTCCATGATCACAAGAAAGAAGACCTAGATTTTAATATTGCATCATCTATACACAACTGTGAACATACTTGACATTATTTTATTATTCACATGAATGGATACAAAGAGAAGTAAATCGAACTAAATATCAGTTTGAGACCAAATCAAACTCTAGCAATAAATTTTACCTAGCAGAAGAAATTGATCCAAATCAAAAGTTGGCCTACTGAGTGCGGATGGAAGAATAGAGAAGAGTGCAAAGCCCACACGAATGTATCAACTGAGATAAGAAAATACAAGCCAATATTGCTCCAGCTAAAACACTGATGAACAAATTAAATTTTTTTAAAAGATTTGTGTATTAAACATATGCACCAAAAACTACACATGAACATAACAGTTAGTCACATTCAATTGTATTTTGAAAGCCCCTGTGTAACAAAAACATAAAAGATCACAAAAAGGTGTAGATAGTTCAGAGTTTTCATCATTGTGACCTGACAAGAAGTCAAAGTCTCTCTCAACTAAACCTAATATATAAGAAATTAAAAGCGGCAAGGAAATGTAAGAATCGATGTTTTATTTTATTTTCTCATTTCTCAGTTTTCTTAGCAGCAAAACAATGAACATTACAAAAACAAAAAAAAACAAAAAACGTAGTATGAATATAACCTAAAATTGTCAATATCCAATTAACAAAATTGACTATATAATACACGATCAAATTTATCAAAATCTAAAGATCAATAATAGAAAGAAAAAAAAAATTGAAATAGTTTAGGGAAATGGAAATACAGAGAAACATGTGAGAAATTAAGTCAAGAGAATAAGATAAATTCTCAGAAAAATGAGAATAAATACCTAAGTTAGATTAAAATTTGGTAGAATATCGAGGGTTTGAAGAGAGAAAGAGGATGAGCGAAATCGGTGAGGATAGAGAAAGCGAACTGAGAAACACTGCGATTGCACAAAAGAGAGAGGCTCCATAGTCAGCTCTGGCGAGAAACATCATCCACGTACAATAGAAATAGAAAAATCAGAAGCCAGTAAAAGTAAGATATTGAATGAAATGACAGCACCTTTGATGAAGAGAGAACATTTCCAGCAATTGATGGTGTTTCTTCCTTCAAAATTTCTCTTCCCATTGCTGATAGAGTTCTGAATTCAACATAATCTTTAGATGGAGATGTCCAAGGAGGACGTGCATGCATATACCATTCGGCCATATCCACTGGTGAGCCCAATCCACCTTTAGTAACCTGCATAGAGAAATATTCAGTATTGCAACACAAGCAATTTGGTAGGGCAGGGCTAGACCTAAGCTAGAAAAACAAGGAAATACTATGCCCAAGCCTAGACTAGCCGACATCAAGCCAAATTTTACTTCAATAATTTTGTATTTTACTCTTTAGTGTATTTTCTTTATTTTAAACCAAAATAAAACTAAATAAATCATATGCACACAATTAATATAACAAGAATCTAACATACCACTAAATCATCAAAACCTGGTACACCATATAGAGGATATGTGACAAGCATATATAGTAATGAAGGTCTAGCAGAAAAGATCATACAAAAGAAAACACAAACCTTGTCCATTTGCTTTGCTCAACAGGACTCAAACCTCTAGGTTTGGCAATTTTACAAGGCCCTACAATTGCTTGCAATAAATCGGAACCCACTCCACATATAAAACCATCATTTTCAGTAGCTCCACATGCAAAGGAAATCCTTCAAACAATACAAACAAATAAATCATATAAATAAATTGTTCAACACCAAATCCAAGATGGCATATAAATAAACATAACCCAACGCCCACCAATTTTCAATATCAATCTTAGAATCAATCTTAGCTGTGTAATTTTATCATTTAAACCTGCTGGTAGAGAGCGTAGAGAAGCAAAGCAACTTCGTTGGAGAACTTGGAGCTGACGCCTCTGGAAGAGGAGTCCAGAGATCCGTCGAAGCCCACGTACGAGGCAGCTACGTAAAACTCTCTAGGTACGTGAGGCCAGCCCTTGCCATTTTTTGGGTTTTGCAGATCAAATCGATGCGAATCAGACTATTTAGAGAGGAAGAAGAATTGAAATGGAGATTTTGAATTAAAATTTCGGGCCAATCAGGCTATTTATATATGAACGTGAGTTTGTAGTGGTGAGAGAGTGGTGCGTAGACTTTGTTAATATCAAAGACTAAAATCACATTACCAATAATTTCCTGACGAGAGTCACAGTTCCAGCATGAATAGCAAGGAAAAATGCCGTGACATCAGTCTTGAACTTTTCATACTCAACGTGAACCTCATTCGCCAATTCATTGCGACATGATAGCTCTACCTTTCAAACGTTCAAGCACACAGCGCCGACAAAGTTGACATCGACGAACCGATCGGAGATGCAATCAAGCATAGATTTCAGATCGTTACAGTGAGAATCTTCGAGGAGGCGTTGTGAGACCTCCGCTTTGCACCAAAAATTCAGATCATTGCAATCAAGCGCAGATTTAAGATCATTTCAATTTTAATTTACAATTGAAATTGAAAACTCTAGAGAGAGCTTGAAATCAGAATTAAACAGAGCAATATAAAAATCAACTACAACTAATGAAGCAGGTAATAAACAGCAATACAAAAACAAACACAACACATCAGAAATTCAAATCAGAAAACATAAAATATAGCAAATTAGAATGTTTGAATCAATTCAGAAAACAAAGTTACATAAGTCACATTGAACTTCATGCGACTCAAAACGAAATTCAAAATGCAATGCACCAGAGCTTCATCAGAAGCGAACTAATTGGTACATATATATATATATATATAGAGAGAGAGAGAGAGAGTTTCATTAGCATTTGCGTCTGCTATTACTAATAATACTACTTGATTCACCCTTTTCTCACGAGTAATCCGAAATCGTCAATTGAAAAGCCTAGAATTCGATCAACGGTTAAACCCAAGCAACAGAGAGAGATAAGAATGATAGAAATCTCAAGAATTTGAAAATAAATACTCTATTAAACCCTAGAATTGAAAAATTGGAGGTCTCTATAGTCAGCTTGGGCGAGAAAGAGATGCGTCCGTGACGGAGAGGAGGCACAGCAGAGAGGAGAGAGAAAGAGAGAGAGAGAGAGCTGAATTCATTCCTAGAAATTAGGCTTACCAATTATGAATCGATCGAAATCTTCAAATGAACAATAAAATTGAGAGTGGAGAATCGAAAAAAGAGTCGAGCGAGAGAGAGTGAAGAGTGAGATTTTGAGAGAGAAAGAGAGAGGCATACCATTGGGGGTCTCTTCTTCAGCTAAAGAGAGCGCGAAATGGAGACAGAATTGGGAATAACAGTCAAACACGTTTGGAGTTTAAAAGTAAAATTAGATTTTGATGTAAAAATAAAAATGATTTTTTTGCAACGGTTAAACAATCAGTCATGAAACAAACAAACAAAAAAGACGCAAAAAGTCATATTTCTAGTAGTATAAGACATTCTCGATAATGGGTGAAGAAGTTTTAATTATACTTCCTACACCAATAATCTTTCTTATGCAATTATTTTCGAAGGTTACATGACCTCCTTATTTGGATTTAAGTGATGAGAACATTGTTTTATCACCGGTCATGTACTTTGAGCACGCACTGTCGAGATACCATCGGTTGTTGTTGGATTTTGTCCTAAAGCACACCAACAAAAATTGAATTTTTGTTGGCCTTTTGGTACCCATTCTTTCTTGGGTCCATGAGAGTTAGGATTTGAAGTGTTTTTTGGAACCCGCTCCTTTTTCATTCTAACAAAAGAATTTCTCTTAACAGGACATAAAGGAGATATGTAACCTTTTCTTCCACAAAAATAACATGTAAGATGAGAATGATAGATGATGCAAGAACAAACATCTTTTTGAGATTTTTTACTTTTGAAAAAGATTTGTATACAATTCCAACTCTTCCAAAGGTTTGAGTTTGACTTTTAAGAATTTTGTTTAAAATATCTCTACCTTGGGTAACTTTTGAAATGACATTTTTTAAATCTTCTATGTTTTCATTTAAAACAATTTTCTCCTTTTTCAAAACCTCATTTTCTTTTTGCAAATCATCTACTTTCTTTTCAAAATTCGAAGACTCTTTCGAAGTTAGGACTTCATTTTTCTAAAGCATTTATCTTAGAAGTCAAGGATTCATTTTCTTGTGATAAACTTGAAATCATTTTCTTTTGACAACTGCTTTTCAAACTCAGTTTTTTAAATTCAGCATGTAATTTATCAAATGTAATAAGTTAGCAACCTCATTTTTGCGAGTGTCAATTCTGAGTCGCTTTCATCACTATCTTCTCCAAATGCTATAATCATGGCTTTCTTCTTTTCATTCTTGAATTGTTTCTTGAGCTCTGGACATTCTTATTTGTAGTGTCTTGGTTTGTTGCATTTGTAGCAAGTGACTTTATATTTTTTGTGATTTTCTCCTTTTTGAAAATCTCTATTGTTGAAATATTTTCTGAAGAACTTTCTTACACCTTATTTTTTCTTCACAAACCTTTTGAACCTCTTAGTAATAAATGTCATTTCTTCATCTTCCTCTAAATCATCTTCTTCTTCCTCTTGAACTTTCGATGTAGACTTGAAGGCTATCCCTTTCTTCTTGTTCTTGTCTTCTTCTTCTTTTCCTTCTTGCATAATGAGCTCATGGGTTAGGAGAGATCCCACTAACTCATCAAGGCTTAATGTCGATTAGTTCCTTGCTTCTATCACTGCGATGACTTTGTTCTCCTAGCTTTTTGGTAATGATCTAAGGACTTTTCTGACAATTTCTGCATTAGTGTAAGTCTTTCCAAGAGATTTAAGACTCTTTATAATATTTGTAAAGTGGGTGAACATTTGGGATGTGTTCTCATCAGGTTTCATTTTGAAGAGCTCATAGTTGTGTACAAGTAAGCTAACTTTTGACTCTTTGACTTGAGTAGTTCCCTCATGAGTTACAAAAAGTTTATCTCAAATTTCTTTTGCCATCGTACAAGTGCATATTTTGTTGAACTCAGTAGTATCAAGTGCATAATACAACATATTAACTGTCACGCCCCAAATAAATACAATGAATCCGAATCCATAAGCGGAAGAATAATAGAAGCAATATACTTTCATTCATTAGAGTTTAATATACATGAGAGACAAATACAAGAAGGAATGAAAGTTTCACAGACGTTCATTTGCCCTAGTGGCTTACATCTTTCCAAGTTGAGGCTTGGTCACAACAAAAATGAGCCTAGCTCAATCACAAATTGAAGCCCTTGGCTATACAAAATAGATACAACAAAAATAGAAGCTCTTGCTTCAAATCCCTCCAAGCTACTGCCTTGGCGAAGGCATATCATCAACACTTGAAAATGGTTTTTCCCAAATAGGGTGAGTCAAAGCCCAGTAGAAACAATCTAACACAATATACGAGTCTTAACAAAGATATAAGTAAAGTGTGCATATACAATGTTCGTAGTAAAATCATTCATGTTTTACAAAATCATAATATACCAAATTTTATATTCCAATCCTTGTTATCTCAATTTTATCTACGTTAATTCACTGTATATCAACTCATGAGCCAATTTCATTATTTTCCAAACAACCCAACTGAGACTATAACTCAGCGATTCTCAAATCAACTTCAGTGGTAGATACAGATCTTACTTTTGAAGATCCAAAAATATATGAAATTGTACCACACAAAATAAACAACATACATTGTAATTACCAAGTAATTCATAGAAAATAGATTTAAACCACACGATGTAATTAGACTAGGGAGTACTGAAATATACAACACACAGAAATAAACCCAAGAAACATCTGATTTTTGGAAATCGTCTTACTTTGACTTAAACTAAGTTAACCTTTTAGAGAAGAAAAAGTTACATTCATGCAGTCATTATCCATAGTGGCTGTCCAGTGATTTTAAATGCTCAAGGCACACCAAGGCGCCAGATTCAGGCGTAGGCGCAAGGTGAGGCGCACCTTTTTGGTAAGAAATAGATAAACTAATAATTCAAACTTGAACAAAAGCAAAATGAAAGAACACAGGTAAATTGTAGAAGAATTCTCAAAGCCATAAAAGCCACATATCATTCCAAATGCAAAATAGTCAACTTCAAACATGAAATAGCATCCTGGAAGGATCAAGGTTTTGACCAATAAAAAGTCAGTGATTGTAAAAATCTTGATGATTAAAATACCACACATTGACATCCTGCGTAAGTAATAGAGGGTTGACACATTGACATCCTGCAGTTCTCTTGTGACAAAATCCTTCCATTTCTACCTTTAGCTTAATGCCATTGATGGATCAAAGTGAGATCCGAGTTTCCACCAAATTTGGCCAATTATGAATTCAAATTTGACATGCAGTTAGCACAAAATTTAAACTGATTTCACGGAATCCAAGTAATACTTTTAGAGGACAATTTTGTAACATCATCAAATAACATAAGGTATTTAAAAGGTTTTAGACTCAAAATCACAAACCCATAATCACCTTCAGTTCATTAAATGCTGCATAATACTGTGGATGCCTTTCCCGAGGTCTTCCCAATGCTTCTTGCCATGTATCTATCGAAATTAATATCTTCTCCCTCACATTTAAATCAGGCTTCAACTTTTGATATTTACACTAATACCCCTATACATAAAGATTATATCTTGTTTATCCCCCATAAAATTGCAATAGTGCCCCTCCTTAAATCATGTAAAATTCCTTTGTGTTTTTTTCATTTTAAAAGTGTCCTATTTTATTCTTTTGGCCATTCTTGCACACTCTTAACTGGGAGGTCAACGGCAAGAATTGAATCAATTGATCATTTCTTTCTCATTATGGGATTTGTTTAGTTGGTTGTTTCTTCCCATTGTGAAGCTCTGTGTTCAGTTGATAGGAGGACTTGTTAATTGTGTTGGTTATTTCTCCCTATTGTTAGGTTAATAAAATTGGGTTGTTGATTGTGGATTTATAAGCCATGTTGGTGTAGTTCTCATGATAATTGTAATATTGTATCTCACAGATAGACCAAAAAGAAGAAGAAAAATTTGTATAAGTTTAATAACATCTCGTTGTTGCTTTTTATGGGGAAAACAATTTCAAAGTTGTGATTAATATGTGCCCCTCTATGTTGAACTTCTGGCTTTGCCACTGTCCATGATAGACATCAATACACAGACCATGTGGCAGAGTTTGAACCTCAAAAATAAAGTCCCAAGACATTTACATGATCCTTGACAGGACAAGCACCGCTGACCATTTAAACATTAACAAGCATAAAACTAGAGTTAGATCATCTATCTTACTTCTAGAACTTGTTACTCAACAGTCCTTCCTTCAGTGCCTTTATGACCACCAATAAAGGCAAGGTACTGCATGAGCATTTTAGTAGTTTCAGTCTTACCAGCCCCGCTTTCACCACTGACCAGAATGGAGTTGCTTTTGCCCTTATTGATCATTGCCCTGAATCATTTCAAGCAATTCAGTAAACTATATGGATCATCCTTAAAAAAAGAATATAGAAAATAAACAAAATAAAAGGTTACCCACTTATAAGCAACATCAGCAATAGCAAAAACATGAGGACTCGGTTCCCCAAATGGTGCTCCCTTGTATTGTTCCATCATGTGACCATTATATAGATGAGGCAATCTTTGGAATGGATTAATGGCAATAAGAATACTTCCAGTATAAGTCTGTCATAATTTCAAAGTACGATAGAATGTTATGACTGAGCCATCCATAGCTGCATGAATTCATTGATTTCTCTCACCAAGGTGAACATTAATTAACTAATATCATAAACTAAAGGTGAAGACAGTCTT